GGTGTGTCAGAGTGTGCTAATGTGTGGTGTGTTGTGTGTCAGAGTGTGCTAATGTGTGGTGTGTCAGAGTGTGCTAATGCGTGGTGTGTGGTGTGTCAGAGTGTGCTAATGTGTGGTGTGTGGTGTGTCAGTGTGCTAATGCGTGGTGTGTGGTGTGTCAGAGTGTGCTAATGTGTGGTGTGTGGTGTGTCAGTGTGCTAATGTGTAGTGTGTGATGTGTCAGAGTGTGCTAATGTGTGGTGTGTGGTGTGTCAGGGTGTGCTAATGTGTGGTGTGTGGTGTGTCAGGGTGTGCTAATGTGTGGTGTGTGGTGTGTCAGTGTGCTAATGTGTAGTGTGTGATGTGTCAGAGTGTGCTAATGTGTGGTGTGTGGTGTGTCAGGGTGTGCTAATGTGTGGTGTGTGGTGTGTCAGGGTGTGCTAATGTGTGGTGTGTGGTGTGTCAGAGTGTGCTAATGTGTGGTGTGTGGTGTGTCAGAGTGCTAATGTGTAGTGTGTGATGTGTCAGAGTGTGCTAATGTGTAGTGTGTGATGTGTCAGTGTGCTAATGTGTGGTGTGTTGTGTGTCAGAGTGTGCTAATGTGTGGTGTGTGATGTGTCAGTGTGTTAATGTGTGGTGTGTGGTGTGTCAGGGTGTGCTAATGTGTGGTGTGTGGTGTGTCAGGGTGTGCTAATGTGTGGTGTGTGGTGTGTCAGGGTGTGCTAATGTGTGGTGTGTGGTGTGTCAGAGTGCTAATGTGTAGTGTGTGATGTGTCAGAGTGTGCTAATGTGTAGTGTGTGATGTGTCAGTGTGCTAATGTGTAGTGTGTGATGTGTCAGAGTGGGCTAATGTGTAGTGTATGGTGTGTCAGAGTGCTAATGTGTAGTGTGTGATGTGTCAGAGTGTGCTAATGTGTAGTGTGTGATGTGTCAGTGTGCTAATGTGTAGTGTGTGATGTGTCAGTGTGCTAATGTGTAGTGTGTGATGTGTCAGTGTGCTAATGTGTAGTGTGTGATGTGTCAGAGTGTGCTAATGTGTAGTGTGTGATGTGTCAGTGTGCTAATGTGTAGTGTGTGGTGTGTCAGAAGGACGCTGATCACTCTGTTTACTTTAGAACCTCGTTTTGAATTAAGGCCGTTAGTTTGTGACGTCATAAAATGTCGCCGTGTCAAAGGTCACGTCTAGCTGACATGACGTAGTTTATCTTCCATTTCCTGGTTCGTTAGTGCGAACATCGTGACGTCAGTAGGCTGTCACTTGACCTACTTTTATTTACCGTCGTCATGGTAATGATGGCTGCCAAAAACGACGATACCGTGATTCCGTTTTTCAACAATGTTTGATGGTCATTTCAGAAATATATACTTAAAATGGTTATTTTTGCGTATTATTCAACGATACCGGTCTAGTTTTATCAAGGGGCGATTGATGTTTGATGCAAACTTGCAATTTGTACATTTTTTGGTCTAATCGCTGATAATATCGAGCAGAACATATTAAAAGTAAGCAAAACGTGAATTGCTTAATTTAATTCTGTTGTGAACTTACTCAAAAATACGATAAACTGTACACAATTATAATTTGCTTTCTACTAAAATAATGTCATTAATGTTTTAAAAATCATGCAGGGTAAAAACAAAACCTATAAAAAATAACTTGATCGAGACAAGAGCAAACTAAGCCCGCCCATTTTGCCCGCCGTGTATTTGAATGGGGATAAATCTAGCAGACGACACATTTCTGCTGAACTCCAGTGAACTGTCAATCGCGTCACAACAATAATACTCCTTAAAAAACTAACCCACCGTATCACTGAAAATCATATCATTGTAGCCATTTAAAAACAATCGCGTTTCATCACAAAACATTTTCTAGGCTACCTATTAAATTTGATTTTAAAAAATTGGTATCATTACCAACGGCGAAAAACATGCACATAATAATGATGTGCCAACATTTCTTTTAAAATTAATTTTTCTACCGCGTATTTAATTTAAATATCTAACAAAGTTGGGGATGCTCTGTAAATTATCTTTTAGGATTTTTACTTATTATTGTTTTAAACTATAATGCTTTTAAAGTTTATAAATATGCTACCAAGAACAAAACACTCCACAACAATATTTTACGATTCTCAACAATTAAATACAAATATTTCTTAAAATATTTATGTGACTTTTTTCTGTGACTTTTCAAGGTAATAATGTTTCATCGTTTTACACCTCAGTACTTCATCATATAGGCCTACGGAGTATAGGGGACTTATTTTAATCGGAGAAAAATATTAAATGCAGATTTATCAAAATTTTGGTGTGCGAGTAGTTAAAACTGGGCTTTGCAATTCTGACTGTTTGTCTCTGTGTGTGTTTGTATGTGTGTATGTCTGTGAACACGATAACTTGAGTAAAGTTACTCATATATAAGTTTTATATCTAATGTGTAGTTCTGTATCAACTTTTCAGCGATTTCCAGTAACCGGAAGTGGAATTTATTCTACTTTTGGTTTTTCAAAAGCCTATA